AATGTCTAAACTATCCAAAGCAATGTACAGATTAAATGCAATCTCAATCAAAATACCCAGGACATTCCTCACAGCAGTACAAAAAAGCAATCCTAAAAACAAAGCCAGAGGTATCACAAAACCAGATTTTAAGAAGTACTACATGATTATTATAATCAAAACAGACTGGTATTAGACAAAATAAACATGCAGACCCATGGAAAAGAGTAGAAACCCCAGAAATTAATCCATACACCTATAATCAATCAAATGAGTTAAAATCAGTCCTTGGAGAAAGGAAAGTATCTTCAATAAAAGGTGTTTGGAAAATTAGATTTCCACATGCAGAAGTTTGAAGCAAGACCTCTGCCTTACACCCTAAACAAAAATCAACTCACAATGTATCAAGGGTCTAAACCTAAGACATAAAGCCATCAAATTTCTAGGGGATAACATTGAAAGACATTGGCAGAGGCAAAAGCCTCTTGGATAAGATCCCAGAAGCAGAGGCAATTAAAGCAAAAATAGACAAATGGGATTACATCAAACTAAGAAGCTTCTGCACAGCAAGAGGAAACAATTAACAAAGTGAAGAGCCTTCTGAAAGAATGGAAGAGAATATTTCCAAGCTGTGTATCTGATAAAGGACTAATATCTAGAATATATAAGGTGGTCAAGAAAATAACAAAGCAAACAGTCCAGTTAAGAAATGGGCAAAGAATATGAATATGTATTTTTCAAAGGATAAACTACAAGTGACCATCAGACGCATGAGAAAAATGCTCATAAAAACTACCATGAGGTACCACCTCACTCCAGTTAGAATGGCTATCATCTAAAAATCAAAAAAAAAAAAAAAATGCTGGCAAGGATGTGAAGAAAAAGTGACCTTGATACACTGTTGTAGGAATGTAAACTTGTACAACCACTATGGAAAACAGCATGGAGATTTCTCAGAAAACTAAAAATTAATCTACCATATGACCCAGCTATACCCCTCAGAATATATCCAAAGGAAATGAAAGCTGCACATAAAAAGAGCTACCTGGACTTCCATGTTTATAGCAGTTCAATTCCCAATAGCTAAGACATTGAATCAAGTTAGCATCCAACAACTGAAGACTGGATAAAGAAAATATGGTATATATATAAGCAATTGAATATTTTGAGCCATAAAAGACAAAATCCTCACATTTGCAACAAAATGGATGATCACTATGCTAAGTGAAATAAGCCAGACCCAAGAAGAAAAATATCACAATTTTGCTTATTTGTGATAGCTAATTTATAGAGAGGATAAAAATTGTGTGGATGTCAGATCATTTGGTATACAGTTATAAATGCTGCTTCACTGAATCATATCATGTAAATGACAATATACCTTTATTCTGTAAGTTAAAAAAAGGGAATGGGGAGGCAGAGGAATAGTGAGGACTCTTTGGGTAATAGTAATGCTTTGTTCTTATTTTGGGTATTAGTTATGAACATGATCAGATGAAAAAAAACTCACCGATCTGTACACTTATATGCATTTTCTGGTACGTATAATGTGTCTTAATAAATTGTTCAAAAAATGATTCCAAGCCAGATCAATTCCCAGGTAAATCACTATGAGTCAAGAATAAAGGCATTTTCAGACATGTGAAATCCGAGAAATTAAACCAGGCCTGTTCCCTTTCTTAGAAAGCTAAAGAAAAGGGGCCGGATTTGTGGCACAATGGTTTTAGCTGGCATCTGTGATGCCAGCATCCAATATGGGCACTGGTTCAAGTCCCAGCTTCTCCACTTACAATCCAGCTCCCTGTTAATGTGTTTGGGAAGGCAGCAGAAGGTGGCTCATGTGCCTGGGCACCTGCCACCTGCATGGGAGAACCAGATGGAATTCCTGGCTACTGGCTTTGGCTTGGTCCAGCTATAGCTGTTGCAGTAATTTGTGAAGTGAACCACTGAATGGGAGATATCTCTTTCTCTGTTTTTCTCCCTCTCTCTCTAACTCTTTCAAGTAAAAAAAATATTTTTAAAAAAATCTAAAGAAAAATAATGCTATGGGATTCAGGGAATGAGAAATCCCACAAGGAGAGAGATAAACAAAATTCTCAGGATGACAGTGAAGAGATATTCCAGGAAATCAGATATTCAGCAGGTGCAGAGAGCAAGCATTCTAGAATGAACCCCAAAAATAGAGGGCTCCAAAAAGGGTACCACCAAGTCAAAGAATGGGGAGGAGGTACACTTCTGAGGAAGTGGATGGTGAGTTAGGGACAGGTACACAGAGGGAGAAAAAAGCAAAATCAAAAACAAAACAATGACCTCTATGACAATTAAATACCATACATCTGTGAATAATAACTACAAACATAATCATATTAGTGCAAACAGAGAATACTTATTTGGTCTTGATGAAAGAGAAATATAAATTCAGGAGAGAGAGAGAGAGAGAGAGTCGTAATATTAAAGTAAAAACTTCCAAAAATAGTAACTTAAGCATGTAATACTAGAAACATGGAGGTCTGTAGTAGAAGAAATAGCTACAAGAGTTAAAAGTGGTTTCCTCTCGGGAGTGAAATTAAATGATGAAGAAGAATAGGGCTGGAGCCCGCTGTAATTTAAGTCTTACAGGAATAGAACAATTTAAGATTCCAAACTATGCATAAGGATAAAATTACTGAAGGTTACAAATTAACAAGTGTTTAGGAAACACACAGGTGAATAGGACAACAATAATATCATACTCCTAATTAAGAGCTCTGGGGTTTGGAGGGGATAGAGCAAAGGCATGACCATTTGTCCCATGTTCCACCAACTTTCCCAGCTCACCAGCAGCACTGAGAGCCACTCAATTTATTTTTGAAGACATCAGAGCATCTTTCTGAGTGGGGCAGGCACCATTCGTCCTGAAGTTTTAAGCAAGCTTAGATCCTTAAGGATTCCCATGGTACGTCACAGTCTTCCTCCGTTAGGCTGGACCACCTCCGGCTTCAGGTCCCAGCTGCCCCACCTCATATGCACAAGTTTAACAAGACAAAGCACTTCTTGCAGTTCCCTGTTTATTTTTCTATAATTTTTTCCTGGGTTGATATTATGAGACTGTGGCAGTAAACTTTTAGATTCGACTCTTGATTACAACAGGAACTTGAACAAACTTTCTACATAAATATTTAAGGCAGTAAAATTTTCTCTATTTACCATTTAACTGTAACCCACACATTTTGATTTCATTCGTTTTCCAGATATAGGAATTACTCAGAAATAACGTTTATTAACTCCGAACTTTAAAAAATATTGCATGTTTGTTACTGATTTCCAAGTCAACTACATCAGTCAGGGAATATGATTTTAATGATAAATATTCATTAAAATTTGTTGATACTAGCTTTATGGCCTGTTAAATGGTTAATTTTCTAAGGATTCTGTATCTTTAAGAATATATCCTCTTTAATAGTTTATATGCTGGGTTTTATAGAATTACATTCATTTAGGCTAGGTAATTTTGTGGAAAAATTTTTTGTTTATACATTTTCTGATGACTTAAGTTACCAATATCATGAAGTGGGATCAACATGATAGTAGTTAGTGAGTTTCTCTGTGTATTGCTATTGACATGTGCTTTATATGTTGTCTAAAACAATAAATTGGGGCAAATGTTTTGTATTAAAGAAAACAACAACATCAACGTACAACATAAAATGGACATGGCCGTAAAAGCATTTTTAAGAAAGAGATTAGGTGCTGGCATCATGGGCTAGTGGGTAAGGCCACCACATGAAACACCAGCATCTCTTGAGTCCCCGCTGCTCCACTTCCAATCCTGCTCCCTGCTAAGGGCCTGGGAAAGGCATTGCAAGAAGGCTCACGTAGTTGGGACCCTGCCAACCATGTGGGAGACCTCGGATGACCTCCTGGTTCCTGGCTTTGGCTGGGGAGTGAACCAGCAAATGGAAGATCTCTGTCTCTCCCTCTCTCTATGTAACTCTTTCAAATAAACTTTAAAAATCTTAAAAAAAAAAAAGACACTATTATCTTTTCAGTCGTTCATCATTTATATATTACTAGCATAAATACACATTTTGCTCTCATAAGGATAAGTAACATTTAAATTTGGGGAGAAAGATTAAATCGTTTTTTAAAGTCAAAAATAGAACAATTATTCTAAATGTTGATCTAAAATTCACCCATTACAAGAGACAGAAAAAATCCCTTTCTTTTTTTATTTTATTTTTTTGACAGGCAGAGTGGACAGTGAGAGAGAGAGACAGAGAGAGGGGTCTTCCTTTTCCGTTGGTTCACCCTCCAATGGCCGCTGATCCGAAGCCAGAAGCCAGGTGCTTCTCCTGGTCTCCCATGCGGGTGCAGGGCCCAAGGATTTGGGCCATCCTCCACTGCACTCCCGGGCCACAGCAGAGAGCTGGCCTGGAAGAGGGGCAACCGGGACAGAATCCAGCGCCCCTACCAGGACTAGAACCCGGTGTGCCTGGGCCCGCCAAATTCTTTTCTTTTTAAAATGTATTCTTCAGGGTTATGCATCTGGCTTAGTGATTACAATACTGCTTGTAACACCCACGTCGCGTAATAGAGTGCCTTGGCTTGAGTCTTATATCCACTGCTCCTACTTCTAGCTTCCTGAGAATGTGACCGTGTGAGGCAGCAAGTGATAGCTTAAGGAGCTGAATCCTTGCCACCCAAGTGTGAGAGCTGGGTTGAATTCCTGGCTCCTGGCTTCAGCTTGGCCCAGCTCTGGCCATTGCAGGCATTTAAGAAGCGAGCTAGCAGTTGGGAGAACTCTGTCTTCTCTCTCTGTCAGGCCCATAAATAAATTTCAAAAATCCATTCTTTGTTTTTCACCAGTGTTAAACAATTAAATAATATGATACATATATAAGTAAACAGTACAGAAAATATCTTAAGCCAGCTTTTTAGAGTCTAAGGCAACATAAACTACTACTCACCATATTCAGATTGGTATGGAAAACAATGGCAGGTGATTTCATGATGAGAATTAAAAGTGAACTTGAATGGCTTACCTGCTGGCTGTTTTCACAGAACAGTTTTTCTTGTGTCCTCTTTCGGCTCGGTTATCTCTCAGAAGCTGGTGCTATACAAAGTGTTAAGACAAAGTTGTAGAAACAAAAATATTTTCACTATATTATTTTGCAAGTAGAAAAATATTCTGCTCATTCAATGGAACAGTATTCATTCACTTGCTTTACTTTTTTTCTTCTAGTTTCTCTTCAAGCAAAGACTACTCATTTGGATTGAGATGCCACTGTCACTGTTGAAAAATGGTCTTGAGAGCTGGCAATGCAGTATTTTCTTGAGAGCTAAACTGCTCTCAGTCTTTGAATACCTATTCTGGAGCTGGAGGTCTAGAACTCAGTTCTGTTCCTGGTAATGTAACCACTTTTGGCAATAACCTCTACTATGCATGACATTCAGCTAAGGATATTTTGGGGCTTTGTCACCATACTGTACCTACTGGCCTAAACATGGTAAAGAAACATACTTACAACATTATTCTTCAAAGGAATTAACGGCTTGGAAATATATAATTAGAAAAATATAACTAATTTCCTCTTCAAAATACCTTATCATCTACTCCTCTAACTAATTGGAAAGAAAAAAGAAATAGCCAATACTCTTCATTATGTGTTTATTCAAACTCAGCTTAGCTTATTTATGCAGATCTATGATTATATGCAAGATTAGGCAGAAAAAAAGTTATCCAGTATATTAGAAAATTAACCCTGACAAAAACAGCAGTCTCAGAGGTAATAATGCAGGCTCTAATCCCAGGTGTACCAGTAACTAACAAGTCATTAAGTTCCAATAACAGCTTTACCACTTACAAGCTAGGTAACCTTAGGCAAAGTACTTAACCTCTCAGAGCCCAAGTCTCCAACTGTAAAATGGAGATAACAATAATATCCATGTGTAAGGCTGTTGAGAGTATTAAAGCAAGATGATGTAAAATGCTTAGCTCTATGGGACCAGAAGACAGAAAATGCTAAGATTTTTATTATAATTAATGAGTGAGGCTGTCAGTGGGTACTATCTTACCAATATCAATAGTTTTTACTGAAGAATAGCTGCTTTTAACTGTTCAATGACATCATTTAGAATCAATTATTTTATTTGGTTATCTCTGAGAAGGAATTCAGTTTAACTAGATCACTAAGAGCATGGTTAGATGATTCGCTCAGGAATGTCTTAACTAAATAAATACATCTGAAACCTCTTGAAAATGTCTATTTCTTTAGATTTCCACTACCAACATACTAGTCTATTTCTCTCACCTGTAATAGTCCCCTAGACGGCTTCCCAGACCCTGGCCTTGCTCTCATCTAATCCTTTTTTCATGTTATGGCCAATATGAACTTTCTGAAAGTAATCTGATCATATCGCTCACTTGAGATAAAACCTAAAATCTTATAAGGGCTTTCATGACCCTTCATAGCTTAGTATACATCTAAACTCATAATTTATTGGGCTTCCTCCTAACCCTGACCTAACCCCCTTACTTTATAAATCATATAAACTCAGCCATCTGAATCTTTTGTTTGGGATGTGCACCATAGTCCTGCACATCTCTGGTCCTTTGCTTCAGTTATTCAATCTGCCTGCATTCTCAGGTGTAGCACTGCATCTGAACAATTTGAGTGCTCAATAAATATTTCATGAATGAACGAATAAATGAATGAGAAGATGAGATGTATAGGGAGTGAGATCTGATATCTGATACATAACTGAAATCATATCTCGTTAGTAGTAAAGAAATTAACAACCATTTATTTGAAGTCCATTAATCTGAAAGTGTTTCAATCTAGAAACACTTCGTACCATGAACACTAAATTGCTTCTGAAAATAAAAATAAATTACTTCGGCATTTCTAAGTCTAGTGCCTTTAAAAATATGTAGCTACAAACCAACAGTTGTGACACAGATAGGTAGAGGTAAGATGATGGAATCTCTACCTCCATCTTTATTAATAGTAGTTAATTAACTTTCTAATTCTAAGGAAAAAAATATATTGAAGACTATTCCTAAAGTTGTTGATAAAAATGTTCAAAGATCTTAAAATTCTAAATACATACATTGTTCTGAAATAAAAATTCTATGGTTTCTCTTTGAAAAATGCAATTCTAATGACCACAACAAACATATGCTGTACCTGTTTGCTCTGGATAGCTCTCAGAGAGGCTACTACTTAGATGACCTCTAATGAGAATCACCTTCTCTGAATTTTGATGTGACAGCTCCTTCTTTTAGATCCATATGAGAGTATTTTTTTTTTCAAATTCACAGTTTCAATGGACTTTGAACATAAAGAAGTCACAAACACTGGAATTATTTAGTGCAATATATCCATATAAAAAGCATCACAAAATTACCTCACTTTGTCAATGACATTAGGAATCTGTAAATTTGTAACTTTAAAATGAAGTTCAGATAAAACTACAGACTTAGATCTCTTGGTCGTGGATATAACAAGTTAATACATGAACACAGATCTTTTTCAGGGCAAAGATAAAACAATCTAATGAGATATTAGAAGAGAAGATGAATATTTGTACTTAAAAGGTTCTCAGCAGGTCACTATCTTCTGAAATAAGTCAGGTTACAAATTCACAATGAAAGATGTAAGAATCCCCACTCTCTGCTCTAATAAGCAAGAGTAGCTCATCAGATTCTAAGAAATTCTTCATTCTTATTGATAATTTCTTTTTCCTTGGACTTCTATCAGTGTCACAAGTGAGGTCATTTTTCAAGGTTCTGGCTCAATAATATCAATTCTGTTTAAAAATAAAACTTTGGAATATGGTGCGAAGTGCTTCTTACCTTCCAACTTTCAGATTGCTGAACTTAGGCCAAACGAAGATACAATTCCCTTATTAGTGACCTGCAGGTGTATATTAAAAATGACTCATATAAGAATGACATTAAAATCCATAAATGTAAAACCTAGGTACACAATTGTAAAAGAAAAATGCTGAATTACATCAGGAAGTGTTTCTGTGGATAATGGTTTTTACTGTTACAGAAATGGAGCTAACTATTCATGACATTTAAAAAAAACTTAATGAAAGTCTCAAATCCCAAATGCAAAAGGAAATAGTAAAGACTAGAATTCTCACTCCACAGCAATCCTCTCTTTACTGTCTTATATGCATAAAGCAATCAAGCTTAGGGATATTTCTACTGGTAGCCACTTTCCAGAAAACTCTTTAAATGTCTCTAAAAGAACTTCAAGGTTTTTCATACTTGGCTTCTTAGTGTTCTCAACATTGAAAGGAGAACTATGTAATATCTAAACTATGACTCACGACTCAATTAGATACTTGTAAATTCTGTCAAAATGTCAAACTATGATGTTCAATGAGGAAAGCCTCAGATTTGAAAAGATAAAAAAAAAATAAAGCAAAAAGATGTGACATACCATTGCTTCTCCATCCTTCCTTCCATCTCTGAACTGACTTTGAACAATTTTATTCTATTGGCCTTTCTTGTATCCTCTCTATGGATTTCCTAAACATTTATCAACATATTCTAATTAAAGCTTCTCTGCCTCAGACTATAACCACCTCAAGAGAAAAAAGCCAAGCTGTTCTGTATAAATATCTCTTTTTATAAAACTGAGAGTCCCTAATAGATAATGCCTAAGTTATTTAACAATTATGTAAGAAAGGTATGATCTATGAATGGTGTAAATAAAAACAGTGTTTATTATTGAAGTAACCAAAACAGAACTGTAAGATATAGAAAAGGAGTGAAAGATGGTTTTAAAAATAAGTGGAGTTGGGGCCAGTGCTGAGGCATAGCATGTAAAGCTGCTTCCTGCAGTGCCGGTTCAAGTCCTGGCCACTCCACTTCTGATCCAGCTTTCTCCTATGGCCTGGGAAAGCAGTAGAAGATGGCCCAAGTCCTTGGGCCCATGCACCCATGTCGGAGACCTGGAGGAGGCTTCTGGCTCTTTGCTTTGGATCAGTGCAGCTCCGGCCATTGTGGCCATCTGGGGAGTGAACCAGCGAATGGAAGCCTTCTCTCTCTGTCTCTGCCTCTCTGTAACTCTGCCATTCAAATAAATAAATAAATAAATCTTTTTAAAGAAATAAGTGGAGTAAACATTATCATTTTTTGACAGTTGAGTATACACAGCTGATCCTTGTTATTTGTAGATTCTGTATTGTGAATTCATCTACTTGCTAAAATGTATTTGTATTACAAAATCAGTACTTCATCTGCTTTTGCAGTTCTTCATAGGCATATGCAAAGTGATAAAAAGATCTGAGTCACTGGTAATGGCATGTTTCCAGCTGAGATTCAACAAGGTGACACTGCCTTTTTGATTCAGCTCTCATATCATAACCAAATGTCTTTTTAACAATCTCTTTAGTATGATATTTTTTTTTCAGTTTGTACTTTTGTAAATGACTTCACTGTCCAAAACTGCCAATAAGCATAGTGCTGACGAGCTTTCTAGTGTGGCTAAGCACAAGGAGGTTGGAATGGGTTGTACAGAGAAAATGCATGTGTGTCAGATAAACCTTGTTCAGGCATGAGCTATAGTGCTGCTGACCTCATGTTCAATGTTAGTGACTCAATTATTTATACACACACACACACACACACACATATATAGATATATATAATGAGATTCTTTAAACCACATAACACAAGGTTATAAATGCATAGACTGATTAAAATATTTTGACTGGAGACTTGAAGGAGACTGTGCAATTTCCCTGCAAGCATTAGGTTTTTTTTATTTACTTTTTTTAACTTATTAATATACAGAGAACAGATTTCATGAATTTCATAGATACTATTCTAAGAACACACAATATTTTCTGCCCTCCCTCCCTCCAGGCATTGGTTTTGTATTCAATAATTTAGTGTTCAGTCTACTTCATAAAACAGAACTACAGTAAGTAACAAGAACTAATTCTATTCATTTATAACCTATCTAGTCAATATAAAAATCTGAAACAGAATACCAAAGTTTAAGCAAATGGCTCATTTAAGCATTAGTTTAAAAAGATGGCAAAATTTTGAAAATAAAAAGAATTGCTTGATTTTTCTACTTATATAATATTAGCTACTAGTTTTTTTTCTTTTAACATTTATTTTATTTGAAAGGCAGAGTTACAGAGAGGCAGAGGCAGAGAGGGACAGTGAGGTCCTTGATCCGCCAGTGCACTCCCCAGATGACTGCGATGGCTAGAGCAGGGCCAATCTGAAGCCAGGAGCCAGGAGCTTCTTCTGGGTCTCCCATGTGGGTACAGGGGCCCAAGCACTTAGGCCATCTTCTACTGCTTTCCTAGGCCATAGCAGAGAGCTGGATCTGAAGTGGAGGAGCTGGGACTTGCACCACGCACATATGGGATGCTGGCGCTGCAGGTGGCAGCTTTACACACTATGCCACAGCACTGGCCCCCCTAGTTAAATTTTGAATGGAGAATTAAACTTGATTGGAAGCATCCAAGTAAACCATAAACTAAAACACAAAGTTATACACTTTAGTACTTCCCAAGTTCTAAAGGGTGGAAAATGTACTTAAAAATTATGTTTGGAAATAAAACATATCCTTATGCAACCTAATAGTCCCAGTAGGATCATTTTTGTAAGCATTGAATAAAGAGGGACACATACCACCTGAGAAAGCAGTAAGTCTATTTTTTGAATACTCTGTGTTTCGAATCATAAGTAAGATAACATGGGGCTGGCTTTGGGGCTCAGCAGGTTAAAGCATCACTTGTGACACTGGCATCCTATACAGAGTGCCAGTTCGAGTCCTGGTTGCTTCGCTTCTGATCTGACTCCCTCCTAAGCTCCTGAGAAAACAGAGGTTGACGGCCTAGTTACTTGTGCCCCTGCCACCCATGTGGGAGACCCAGATGGAGTTCCAGGATCCTTGCCTCAGCCTGGCCCATGCTGGCTGCAGCCATTTGGAGATGGAACTAGCAGACAGAAGATCTCTCTTTCTCCTTCTTTTTCTCCTTCTATCCCTTTATCTCTGTTATTCTGCTTTTCAAATAAATAAATCTTAAAAAAATATTTATTTATTTGAAAGTCAGAGTTACCCAGAGAGGGGAGAGGCAGAGAGAGAGAGAGATGGTTCACTCCCTAATTGGCTGCAATGGCCGGAGCTTCGCCAATCCAAAGCCAGGAGACAGGAGCTTTCTCTGGGTCTCCCACCCGGGTGCAGGGGCCCAAGGACTTGCGCCATCTTCTACTGCTTTCCCAAGTCACAGCAGAGAGCTGGATCGGAGTGGAGCAGCTGGGTCTCAAACCAGCACCCATATGGGATGCCAGTGCTTCAGGCCAGGGAATTAACCAGTTGTACCACAGCGCCGGCCCCATTGAATTTTTTTTTAAAAAATAAGCAAGACAACACATCATTGATGTAACTTGGCCTAGTTAACTTCAAAATTTATAGGAACACTGGTGTAGGTTCTATTTTAAATGTGAGGAGTATCTTTTAAAAGGCAAATTACTCAGTAAAAAAGGCAAATTAAAGGAAAAAATTGTTACAGCTGAATTCATGAGAATTTTTTTAGCTATGTGTTATGAAATACAGTTTATAATGAAGTGCATTATTGAGTAGAAAGAACTATGGCATCTGCACCCAACTATGGACCTGTTGTTCAACTTAAGTCAATCTCACCAGTGTAGCAATGTTACCAATTACCATTACCCAACACAACCCCCTCTTTACTACCTTACTGTTCTCTCAGAAGAAATGATCTGCAGAGGTATGCAGTTCATCATTCTTATGTCTTTTAAAGGCATACTTTCTTACATACCATAGTTTTGTGTCACTTAATAAACAACTTCTATCTTTCGTAAGGAAAGAAACTTGCAAGGATGTAAACTCTAAAGTGGATATGTTTTAGAACTACCATAAATTTAAGCCCTGAATTATCATAACATGCTTCAGAAAGAGAATTAATATATTCAAGGAACAAAGAAAATAGTCTATTTCTTTAATATATAAAAAAACTAAAGTAAATGTCAAGTTCTTGCTAAGTCAACTAATCATTGTGCTCCCATGTATACCAGCAAAAGATTTTAAAAAACAAAACAAAACAACAATTCATCTAGAGCTATAATGTGAACTTGAAAAACACTACTGCCAAGCTGTAAAATTCAAGATAAAAATATGCTCTCACTGGCTGATCTTTAATATCACTTAATTTTTAAAGTTTAGGTGCTGTTGTGATACCTTAATTTTGTGAACAACAAATATAAACAGTGAAATCCTGCAAGAGTTCCAGAGGCTTTCCATGTGGTCACATGTATGTGTGACTGAGGAGGGTGACAGTAAAACAAACAAAGGAACAAAAACAAACACTGGTGCTTGTTGAGGGGAGTTTATTTGTTTAGCGGATTCAACCTTGGCACAATTACACTTCTTTTAAAATAAGCCAGGGATTTACATCCTTTCTCATAGAGCTGACTGACTACACTGAAGGGAGATGGATAAATGAAAGACACTAAGTAACTTTCTTATGAGCTCCTTACCTGGCCAAGCTCTGTCCTAGCCCCAGGGCTAAACCAATGGCTGCAGAGGAAAGAGAAAAGGAATTAGTGGGAACCTAACTAAAAGCATCTGGTCACACGTGATCAGTTTGCATGTGCTTTAAGACATTTATTCGCCAATAGCAATAAGGCCTTAAATATGCTTTATTTTAATGGATATTTCATGTAATTCTAGACTTACACCAATTTTGACAGAAATGTAAGAGTGCTCATAACCCAGTAATTTTCAATTTAATAAGCAAACTGAGTTAGAATTACATTTCCATTTAATTATGTTAACATAAACTGCTGGGACTGTATTCATTTTATGAATCAATTCTGGTTATAAAATCTACAAATGCTATCATTTACCACAACTTAATTATAGCATCATTACAACAAATTATGACCTTTTGGTTGTTGAAGTAATGAAAAAATGTTAAAAACACAAGAACATTATATTTTCTGGAAAAGCCCCCCAGGAACAACATAAAAACCCTTGATATGGATTCTGGAGCATCAGTGGAACTAATCCTTTCACAGTTTAAAGAACTGGGGTTCTGGCTGAGCACAAGTTCAACAATAACAACACAGAAGTCACTTCACAGCGGTAGCCTTCCCTTCTCACAGCTCAGTCCACTCCATATTGCATCAGCTGCTCTTATACTCTCACTCCTGACCTATGCGGCTGACAAATGGTTAATGGTTACTACCATTAGCTGGGTGCCCAGCTTTCTGGCAGTGTTCTATATAAAAACAAGCTGACATCAAGGACTGGGAAATTAAGAGAGATACTGTGGCAAATGAACCATGAAAAGTCCACAATATTTTAATGTGATGTACTATTTCAAGAACAATAAATAGTATTGAGTTCAACCCCTATGTACTAAGTCCTCTTTAGACACATGGCATGTACTACTTCCCACTCTGATAACAACATTCAAGTTTTGGATGCAGAAATGAGTGCACAGATATTAAGGTTAGTTGTCCAAAGTGTGCCTTTACCATACCTACTCTTGAAGTTCAAGGAGCTTACATTGAAAGGGTACATCTCCTGGTACTTTCTAAGACTTTCATATATTATAGAGCCTCTGTGGTACTAAAATTGGGAATAAATAGCTTCTGCCTTAATAGAATTTCTGTACACAGTTACCATTAAAATATTGTCCCTTGGCAGGTAAGTTTTTACCACTGATGGGCACATACTGGTATCAGTGAGTGACAACTGAATTAATCACCAGCTAGAAACAAATTATTCCCTTGCCAATGTTTTAAAATATTTTCCCCCTCTGCTTTGGATTGTGCCTTTTGCTATAAAGAAAAACATATTTTAAAAATCAAAATGCGTAGCTCAGTTAAAAAAAAAAACACAGAGTAAAAGAATTAAAAACAATAGTCATTTGTCTCCTCTGTCCTGACTCCAAAGCTCCTCTAGGGAAACAATTGCCAACAGTTTTTTGGTCTTTTCCTTTGGGATAATGTCATGTGGAGGTACTTCAAAAAAGCCATGACAAATACATATTAGGAAAACACTTTCCGTAGATTTCAAGATTTCTTTGCAGCAGAAAAATTTACAGTTTAATTTTCTGATGAGCTGTTTTAAGTTCTCTCATATTTCTAAACAGGGCTATATTGAGAGTTAGTGATTAGATGTTAATAACTGATTTTATATTATCATAAATATAGATTTAACTCTCAACCCTCTATTTCCATTGACAATATTATTTTTGATTAATCAATTGTGAATAGACATTAGTATGACTATGTGAATACTTTCTGCTGCTGAGATTTTGTTTCTCCTAAAGTTGATATTGCCTTCATTTTTTCCTTTGCTTTTTTTCTATGTACACACCAGCCTTCTTGATTACGAGCTATCCCATCTAAATATTAAAAAATTTCTGAAAATATATCCATCCTTTACTCCTTCCTCGTTATAGCCTGCAGAGATCTCCTTTCTAGAGCCCTTTATCCTATGATCTCAACTAGCAGCAATCCTCAGATCTGGTCTGGAACTGTCTTGGCTTTCATTACATGTTCATGTCATTTTTTTACCTTTCCTTAGATACTTTCTGGTGTCCTAATTTTTGCCTTTTGCCAAAGCCCTCATACTGCTTTGAGAATTATTGAGAAGTACCTTGTTTGAGTTGATCTTCCCCAGCCTCTCTTGCTTTGTCTTTTTCTTCACATGCTTTAATTTGCAATATATACATTCTTGAATATGTATTTATGCAGGTAAGTCTTAAAATATAGTAGAATACTTCCCACAACTTTATTCTCCATTTAAAAATAGTTTTAGCTATTTTAATTCCTTTGCTTTTATATACAAATTAAAAAATTTCATTTACATCTATAAGAAAATCTTGCTGGGTTTTGAGAGGAATTGCATTAAATCTGAATATCAATAGGAGGAGAACTGACATCTTTACTAAGTTGAATCTCCCAATCCATGGACATGGAATGTTTCATTATATTTCTAGCTCTTCTTCAATTTATTTCATCCTTATTTATACCTTATTTAATCTTTCATCACTCACACTAATTTTTTCTAAGATTTAAAAAAGAAAAATTTCAAATAGTAAAGTTGAAAGAATTTTAGAAGCAACACTCATGTTTCTATTATTTAGATTCTATCATTAACATTTTATTATATTTGGATTATAAAATATCTATCAATCTATTTAATGATGTCTTTTGATGAGTGGGTACCCCACCCTCGGTTGTTTGTAATGGATTATCTTTAGACTGAAGGCTTTTCTTAAATATCTAGTGATCCGCAGTTATCCATTCAATATTTAAAAGATACTATAAAACTGATCACAAGAGCAATGAATAAGCATTAAGGCTTCGATGGAGGCTTCGATGGAATAAAATATCTGTCACTTCATCTGCTTGCTGTTGAGTAACACTCTCTCATCGTATTGTGGGTTTATTTAACTTGTTCCTTCTTTTTGGTGGTATTTGGGTTTGAAGACTGAAAATAAATGTTTGGGGAGGTAAATAACCCAAAAGACAGCGGCATCACTGAAGCCATGGAAGGAAGTTTCAAGAAGGGAGTTGTCACTGGTGTAAAAAATGCTGAAATCAAGTCTGATAGAGATCAACAAAACACATTTGGAGGATCACTTCTAGAGAAGTTTCCAGGAAGCACCATGGGAAGAGATCAGAATCATAATGTCATTGCTGGGTACTGAACAAGGTGTATGTGAGTTTTAGATTGGGTGTAGTGTAATCCATTCTTTCTAGAAGTTTGGCTTTGAGAGAGAGAGAGAAAGAGAGAGACAGAAAGAGAGCAAGCGAGCAGTAGGGTTGAAAAGAACTAAAGAAGAGGCTATAAAATACATCAGATAATGCAGGAAGCTTTTGGAAAGGGAAAAAAATAAAGCTCCTTTCACTCAAAACCACAGGTCACAGAGTCAGCCTTTGAGAGAAGAAAAATCCTTTCCTCTAAGACAAAGAAAAAGGAGAATGAAGGAAAATATATTTGGATAAGTTCATCCTTATTTGAAGGTCAGTCTTAATGACTCTAAAGGACAGGGTAGGGCCGGCGCCACGGCTCAATAGGCTAATCCTCCGCCTAGCGGCGCCAGCACACCGGATTCTAGTCTGGCGCCGGATTCTGTCCCGGTTGCCCCTCTTCCAGGCCAGCTCTCTGCTGTGGCCAGGGAGTGCAGTGGAGGATGGCCCAAGTGCTTGGGCCCTGCACCCCATGGGAGACCAGGAGAAGCACCTGGCTCCTGCCTTTGGATCAGCGCGGTGCGCCGGCCGCCACGCCCTGGCAGCGGCGGCCATTGGAGGGTGAACCAATGGCAAAAGGAAGACCTTTCTCTCTGTCTTCTCTCTGTCTCTCTCATTGTCCACTCTGCCTGTCAAAAAAAAAAAAAAAAAAAAAAGGACAGGGTAGGAAGCAGAGGAGAAGAAAAACGCTGCAACACGTGTGGTTTGAAAATGGTACAACACAACTTAAAGTTTCAGAACATCGGTTCTGAGTGATGGTTCTAGTCAAGAGGAGCAAGGAGAGTGAGTTACTCAATGGTAAGCAGATGAAGGATGTTAGAGTGTTAGAGTCAGGGAGGAGGATCAGCTGTGCCAAGTGACAGATATTTTATTCCACTGAAGCCTCACCACAACACTGAGCCCTTACTAAAGGTCCAGACCCTGTTCTTACTTAATCCTTACACTATCCTGGGGGGCAGGTACTATCTCCAGTCTGCAAATAAAGACTCAGAGAGATTACTGATTTGCCAGTGGTTTGATAATCAAGTAGCACAGCTGAAATTCAAAGCCCAAGTTTCTTGTTACCATTACACATACTATCATTAATCAGGATAGCATCAACTGATGCAGAAGGGAGCCTAAACCAGGTGCCCAAGTCCTCCATGAATAAAGGTAAACAAGGAGCGATAGATGGTATTATGAACCTTTTGGAGGGAAAGGGCTGACTTTCTATTGATTGATTGTACACTCCCAAAGCTTAGCCTAATACATGGAAAATAAAAGTTACTTAATAATATTTTAGTGGAAAAAATGAGCAAATAAGGAAATACAGAAGTAGTTATTTCCTTGAAATTGAAAGAATCAAGTTTATGTAAAGGCAAAGGAGGGAAAAATGCCTTAAAAGAGAAAAAGAGTCATAGAGAGGCATTTATTTACATTAGAGCCAAGTTTCACGAGGGGTTCCCAGGGAGACCAGCAGTGGTAGAACTCTCTGGGAGTAGGAAGCACAGCATAGTTTGAAACTGATCACTTACGGGGCGGCACTGTGCTGTAGCAGGTAAAGCCGCCGCCTGCAGTGCCAGAATCTCATACGGGCGCCGATTCAGGACCCAGCTGCTCCACTTCCAATCCAGCTCTCTGCTTTGGCCTGGGAAAGCAGTAGAAAAAGATGGCCCAAATTCTTGGGCCCTGGCACCTGTGTGGGAGACCTGGAAGAAGCTCCTGGCTCCTGGTTTTGGATCAGTGCAGCTCTGGTCATTGCGGCTATCTGGGGAGTGAAACAGTAGATGGAAGACCTCTCTCTCTTTCTGCCTCTGCCTCTCTGTAACT